AAACAAAAAAAAACAAAAACAAAAACCCCCAAAAAAAAAAAAAAAAAAGAGAGAGATGAGGTGATGTAGCCAAAGTCACACACCCTGTGGCAAATCTTGAGTTCAAACCCAGGCAGTCTGGCTGTGGAATTTGTGTCCCTACCATTCTACTGTATTGCTCATTTCACCTGCTTTAAAAGTAACGTATCTATTCTTAATCAATGAACTGGAAACAAAAGGTAGATCACTGAGAAGTAATTGAGATCCTGTTATGGGTTAGGTATACAGCATTTTATTTCCTGGAACATCATTGTATTTGGTACTGTAATGTTAGTGAAAACCATTCCATTTAATAGTCATTTATTTCCTCAGAAAGTTATAATACTCATTAAGACAAGCACAGATGCAGGTAAATCGAGAAACAAGAAATATGATTGGTAAGAACTTTCTATATTCAATAACATTAAGCTTTTTTGTTTTCAATAATGGTTTGATTTTACAGATTAAGTAAAATGTTTCAGTCTAACATTGCATCTGACTAGCAGCCCTTTGATAACGTCGGTATTTTTCTGTAAATTTTCATAAAATTTGTCATAAGAAGAGAGATTTTATCAAAACATTGAGATTACATAAGTCTAAGTGCTACTATATTACCAGAATATAGAAAGATTTCCACTAAGTTCAAAGAAGATGCAACATGGATTGTAAAACAAAACTGAGATTGTCCCAGTGCATTCCTTCAGGAATTGTACAAATCTGTTTTCCTGTCATCAGCAAAGTCCTTTGACCATTTCTAATATCACTTTCCTTTTTCAAAAGTAGTATGCATTATGTACATTAATATATATATATTTATTATCCAGGTGGAAAGTGATCGTCTGCATGTCTACTACTTCTACCTTTTCCGGTAGGCAAATAGTCTTCTCCGATCTCTAATGGCATTTCCATTCTAAATCTAAGAAGTTACTGCAACTTCCAGTACGTAAATAAGCAGTAATTGGTGGAAGAGAGCAGTTAGTTAAAGTGAACTGAATGCCAAGAGATGTCTCCAGGTTGGATTGGAGAACAGACGTGCTGAGATAAATAGTCTGAAGTGTAGCCCTCCGTAATGTCACTTTCTGCTATTTCGCTTACCCATGGTCAGCCACTTAACATAGGTGTGAACAGTACAATAAGACACTTTGAGAAAGAGACCACATTCATGTAAAGTTTATTATAGCGTACTGTTAATCTCTTACTGTGCCTAATTTATAAATAAAACCGTATCACAAATTTGCGTATGAAAAACCATAGCAAATATCAGGGTACTCCAAAAACATTGTGAAAAAAATAGAATTAAACTGAGTTTATTTTAGTGCAATAAAACGTAGAATCCATGCATAATTTTTTATAATGTACATTTTCTTTTTAAAATTTTTTATTCATTAATATTATTATTTAAATCTGACCAGAGAGAGACAAAGAGAGAGAGAAAGGGACATGAGAAAGCAAGTCTCCAGGTCCAGGACACAAACTGTTATTGACCATGTGGGAGTCCAGCATCTCAACCACCACATCACCTGCTGGTCTCCCATAATATACAGTTTCCATAAACTTGTAGAAGAGCGCATGTGTAGAGGTTGGAACTATCCATGGTTTCAGGCCCATGCAGGGGACCTCAGAATGTTGCCCCTGAGGGCAAGGAGGAACCAACGTAAATTGAAAGCTGAGTTTGTTATTAATATTTGTAATACTACTGTATTACTATTTACCAGAAGGTGTTTGCACTAGCTGGACAGAGAGAGAGACACAGACAGAAAGAAAACACCCCAATGGTCACACAACAATACCTTCTCTTCCATTTCTTCCTCCTTTTGTGAGTTTGGGCAAGCATGCACAGTCCTCAGTGTTTTTCAAGTCTCCAGATTCAGAACTTACAAGCACAATTGGCCACAGGAGATCCAGCCCTCTTAACCACCACACCATTGACTGGCCTGAAAGCTGAATTCTTAAAACAACTGTGATCCCAGATCCACAATATATTTTAGCTAGGAGAAGAAGGCATTACAGAAAACTGATTTATTCCTATCATTTCTTGGGTCTTTTGCTAATTTTAAAGCAAAAATGACTTATTGTTTTGTCTTTTTTTTTTCATAAGGAACTAAAAATAAATTCTAGACCAGTATAAAACATTTTATTGTAAATTTCTTTGATTTCAATGGAATGCATTTTAACTGGAGTGCAGAGCTATGGATTAATGCCAACTTTGTATTTTTACACTCCTAAAAATAAGCAAACCTCTTTTTCAGCTGCTAATGACTGTACTCGATGTGGTTCACTGAGCAGTTTAGATAGATTTCAAATAACTTTCCTGTAATTGCTAATTATTTTATATATGAATGAGATCAGCAATCAATAATCACATGCAATGGTTGAAAGGCGGTGCACTAATCAATAGAAATACTTTGTTCCATGGGAACACAGTCTGCTTGGAGGGCTGACATGTGCATTGTTGCCCTTGATGTCCCTTTCTATTTTGCATTTGTTATAGATTCAAAGGCATTTTTCCTGTAAAAAAAAAAAAAAAGAGGAAGTTGGTAAAATATCTCTCATTGACATCATGATAGAGAGGATATCTGCTCTAAAACAAAAACAAAAACAAAACAGCAACAACAACAAACACAGATCCTAAGAGAGGCAGGAAGGGTATTTAATTTTATACAAATGCTAGGGTTGAAAGGTAAGCTTCATGATCTCTCAGCAATAGGTATATGTTGTCTCTGATCCACTTTCTTTTGCCATGTACTTTTAAACATAGTATACAGACCTACAGGAATCATACTTTGTGGTGGTCTTATCTACCAGGGGTTTATTTTTGAAGATATATATTCAAACACAATATGTATAATTTTGTTTTTCAGACTGAGAGGAAACATTACATCAGTAAAGGTTAGTTGCGTTTTTTTTTTCTTAGACATTTACTGATCGCAAATGAGAAAATAGGTTATGTCATGAAGAAATACAAAAGTACTTAACATAGCATAGATTTCAGTATGTATTTTCTCCCCTTCCTTGTTAGGTGTACTAGAATTCATTATAAAGTTCAGTACTATGTCTATGTATTGGCATGTTTTGCATATTTTATATAAAAAAGGTATTTTTAGCTGAGGAAAAGTAAAGAACAGTTTAAAGATGCTAATGCATTTTTGGTAAAGAATAAAAAGATTCAGGAAAGTAACAACAAATTCTTTTTTTTTTTCTATGTTTTCTGGAGAGGCATTCTAAGAACCTTCCAGGTATACCTCTGTGTATGTCAGTATTTATCTAAGGGATAATCCTAGAGTTCCTAGGAGAGATGCACTACTGGAAATTTAGAACAGGGATCCAGAAAAGCCGGTGATAAACCCATGAGAACAGTTAGAAGATAATTTCCGAAGGAGGAAAATGATCTCAAAGAAAATAAGACAGGTGCACATCACTCCAATGGGTGATCTCTAACTATATTCTACTTGTGTACATGTTCTTTAAAAAGAGAGAGAGAGAGAGAAAAAAAAACCCTCAATTTATGTGAACTGTGAAATCAGCGGGATGAAAATTGTTAGATTTTGGACTTTGGGTTCTGCGTGTGGGTGCCGGTTTCCCGACGTGAATTCCTCGCAAAATATTCCCCTGGAAGAATCCTGGTCCTCCTTGCAGCCAGCACAGTGAGGCTTCCCAGAAGGTGTAACCAGGTGTAGCTGGGATGCAGAGACGATCGCCTCTCATCTGGTGCACACGCGCGCAACTGAAGCAAGCGTCTGCTGGGATGCAATCCGTGTCCCTCAGCTCACCCAAGGGCTTTAGGACAATAAACGACATCAGTTAGAACTGGAGAGTCAGTCGCAAGGCAGGCCCTCGCGAGCTGAGATTCCTCACGGATGCCACTCTACCAAGAAGCCCATTCTCTGGCTCGTGGGATCACGACCAAGCACCCCGCCTCCGTGAATGACAAATTGAGAATCGTCGCCGCGCAGTTATAGCAAGTAAGTTATTGCCAACTTTGTTTCCGCGCGAGCGTGAGCGCACATAGGTGGCCTCTGGACACTTTCATCTTACTTCCGTGTGTGAACACCGAAGAGATTCGCTAAGAATTAACCTTTATCCTGAAATCTCGATCTCGATAAGGTTATTCGAGTGAGACACACACGCACGCTCGCACACAAGCACGCACATCACCTGCAGCCACCAACCCTTGCGCTCCTCGCCTCGGCTGACTGGAGTCCCGGGTTTTATTATTTGGAAACTTGCTGATTTCTGTTGCAAAGACCACGCTAACTGGATGCGGGTGGGTGGAATGCTGTGGTTCATCATTGATTCATTGCGACTGTGTCGATTGTTGACACTAGTGGCAAACCGCATCTTCCTGCTCTTGCGAGGGAAGTCTGACACCTTGAGGACGGGAGAGGGGGCGCCAGGAGCGCAGAGGAACGGGAGCGGGAGAAGCTTGGAGAGTTACTGGGGGACACTTTTCTCCTGTCGGGCGACCGGCACAAGGTGGTTGTTTACTGGAGTGGGAGGAGGGCGTTCAAAAGTCTTACATCCCTGGAGAGCCTGCCCACAGCTCGGAGGTGTGCGTGGCTCGCATCCAGGCCCACGGGGGTGGGTCCTCCACACCGATTTGGCTGGATGAAGGCTGGTTTGTGGGGAGCTCGCCTGCCCACTGCTGACCTCAAGCAGTTGGGCCGGGGAGGTGGAGGCTATTGCGCCGCAGCCGGGTCGGGGACTGAGCGTCAGTCGGGCGCCAGCCGGCACTCGGGTCCCCTCCACGATCCAGCGAAGCAGTGCGTGGGACCCACATCTTCTCAGACTGTCCCTTTCCGGACTGTCTGGGTGGCCCCCAGCCAGGCACCCGTCTGAGGCGTCCGTGGTCAGCCGTGGGAACTTTATCCACAGGGATCGGCGGGGAGCGGGGGTGGGAGAGGTTCTCCTCCCCAGGCGCTCACCTCCCCCTCCCGGCCCGCCCCTCCCCGCCTCCCATGGCTTCGCTCTCAGAGCATCCTCACTCCGCCCAGTTCGGTGCCAGCTGCGTGGGCTCCAGCTTCGTGCGTCTCCCTCGGAATGCTCCAAAACTCGGCCGCGACTAAGGAAATCCCATCGGAATTTGCGAGGCGTGCTCTCACCCGGTATAGCGCCCGCGCCGCTGCTCCCTGGATCCGAACACTTCCTCTAGAAGACAGCAACTTTGCAGGTAAAGAGGGTGTCGCCTCCCGGGTCCGTGGGACCGGAGCTCCGTCTCTCCTCCTTTCTGAGATGTCAGTTAAGTTTCTTAAGCTGCCTGGGAAGCCGGCTCCCTCCTGGGAGGCGGACATCCCTGGGGGGTTCCGAGTTCAAAAGGCTCCTGCTGTTTGGTTTCCCTCCGAGGCCCGGGAACAGATCTGTGAAGCTTTCCGTGGTTGACCCCGGCGGAGCGGGAGTTTGGGGGTGCTTCGCAGTCTCTCACGGCACCGGGTTTTAAAGCAGGGGAGAAAGCGAGGAGCGAACCCCTGATGTGACTTATATGGTAAACAAAGGCGCTGAGCCACGCCGTGGTGCTGGGAATGTAGTTGTTTTTAGCCTTTTATGCATTGGGGGAAAATGGAGATTGTTGGTGGCCTCTGGGCGAATATATGAGCCCTGGGCTCTCTGGCACCTAAACTGGGAGAACGAAGGAAGGAAAGTGGTCAATATCCTGTCGATCGATTACACTCTGCGTCATTTGCATTCTCTGTCAAGATACAGAAACACTTTTATCGGTGTTGCTGAACCCAGTCTAGCGATTCCTAGTTCGCCTGGCAACCAAGATTCCACTTAAGCCAATGAGCCTGTGTGTTACTTCTGTAAATCGCCGGGATTCACTGCTCAACTTGTTGTTCCAGCTGTGAACTCAGCTGCCTTTTGTGACTAGAGAGAAGAGCACATCGAAAAGGCTTGGAGGGTTGAGGGGAGCTGAGCAGAGGGAGCTTGTATCCTCTGCTTGCATTCGCTGTTGTGTATCCCTGCTCTCAGGGTTTCTTAGGGACGCCCTTCCCTTCCCAGTTAAATTCCATAGCTATAAAATGCAGCAAGTTGCTTAAGGAGTAAGCACCAAGCCAAAGGAGTGGGAGGAGACAGGAGCAAGCCTTGGTTATTTTATTAAAAAGAAATTTAGAGCGTACTTGTAAAACTGAAAGAGAAAAAAAAAAAAACTCTCAGGACTCATCTAATTTCTAGCTTCCCTAGCACAGTAATGACACACAAAATATATTACAAATTCTTTTTTAAAAAGGTTTACTGTATGGATTTTTAAAAAGTGAAACTCTGATTTAGACAGTGAGAGTAAGAGTGGGCGGATATGTTAGACTATTGAAATCTTCTTCACTGTGTTATGGTTCGCTATTTAAACTGACATTTCAATGCCTACTTCTGTTCACCTGAATGGAAGACCAGGAAACAACGCCCCTTTTTAAAGTATATGAGGAAAAGGATCTAATAATATATAGGAAGAGTTACACAAGAAATTCAGAATTAGAATAAAAATTTTGTAGACATTGTAAGCAATCCATTTTTAAAACTATACTTATTAATCCATATAGTCATTAATACAAATCAGTGCACCAGTAGACGATAAATGGGTTTTTATCCAAGTATCTTGTACAAATATCTTGACTGAGGAAGTTTAGTACAGGTAGGAAGAAAGAAAACCCCTGCCTTGTCTACATATCATAAGTGTAGCATGGACATCAATTGCCTTTCCATAGAGCTCTGATCAAAATTTAAGTACTTTGCTGTACTTAAGGTTGTTAACAGCAGATATGTTTATGGCCAGAAAGGCACAAAGAGAAATACTAAAAGGTTGACGAGATTGACACTTAAGAGGTGTTAGTATCCATTGAGTTCATCAACGTATAGTTAGAAAAATCATGATGAAAAGGTTATCAGAAATTGAGAAAAGTTCTTCCTTTTGTGTAAGAATTTAAAGGAACATGGGCATTCACCAAGCATAAAGTATCTAAGCTACACAGATGCAAGAAACAGATCTTTAGGAAAACCAGTCAAACTTTGCCAATGTTTCTGAAACTCTCTCATCTTGAAAAATAAGATAAATGTTGATTTATTTGTTTGCTGATTGATCCCAAAGATAGAAGAGATGGGATACACATCTAATATTGATAACTTTTCAATTAATTTTGTGTTTTTTATATTGTTACTTTTCCTGTTGAATTTATTTCCTGATCAAAATGCATAAAGACTATGACAAAATTAAAGTTCTGCATGAATTTTATGACCATCTGAGTTATTAAAATAAGAGACCAAATAGCTTTCTATAACCGTTATCAATTCATAGACTACGTAATAGGAAATACCTGGGGGGAAATGTTGACTGTCTTGTTCAACACGTTTCAGACTTTCTCACTTATGCTCCACGGACAGCTACAACCATCCAAAGAACTAAAAAGTTATGAGGTAAAACATCTTTATCCAGGAAACTGAAGCTAAATAAATTTTATGTTTTATAAACCATACCTTATCTCATCCTACAAGGATCTGGAAATCAGATAGGCTCTCTTGGAATATTTCAATGACTATATCTTTTAATATTTACATAAACTGGAGAGTATTAGAAACCTAACTGCTTGGGTAATTAGACTTAGAAAAATTACCAACCCTAAACTATAAATGAAAGACAGGAACAATGTACAATCCTTCTTTTTTACTTTTTTATATGAAAAAAAATAAAAATATCAGATCATCTGGTCAAATGGTATCACCTTTCTCTACAATAAACATGATTAAAGCTCTAGTGAAGAAAAATAATTCACTTTAAGATGTGCTGATTTTAACCTCAGTGAATTAAAAAATATTTTCAAAACATATTTTTGGAAATATTTTGTGATTTTTTTATATCCACATGCTTAACCGCCAGCCTAATTTATGACAACTCAAATGATCAATATGATATTTAACAGCTGAAAACTAATCTCTTTTATTGAATTAATACATATTTGAACAAAAGTAAAAAAATATGCATGCATTTGTTCACTACTGAAAATACTAGTGCTGAAAGAGGTAAGGGATTTTGTAATTAAAGATATACCATAAATATGAAGCACTAGCTAAGATCATAAAATGGGAGACTGAATATTTTCTTAAAATTTTTGATTAAAAAAAATAAACAGGCCAGGTGAAGAAAAACATAATAAACCATTTAGTTGCCCTTTTCCAAGATCGTCATTGCCAAACGTGTTATGAAATAAGAGTCTAGTGTGCATCATGACTTTCTGAATACTGTCTGATTTAAAATGAAACCAGTGAGATTGACCTTTTGATCTATGGAAAACCAACCATGAGCTTTTGATTCTCCTTAAAATTAAGGTGAAAAACACAGCTCTAAATAAAAACCTTGCCCGTGCACTTAACTTATGCTTTTCCCCATCCACCCTACCTCCCCAATAAATGTTAAAACTGCTCACTTCAACCCAACTTTAATTGGGAGGTTTATGTCTATCCAGTTATAGTGAAGAATTATTTCTTCTTATGTTGAGTATTTCTAACTCTTCCAGATAACATTGAGACCTCAGTATTTTAAGAGATTTTAGAACATTATAATAAGGAAAATAATACCATGGTTATGATTTGTAAATCATCACAAATATAGACCTTAACTCTAAGTACTACCAAAAACTACTTTTAGAAAAAGAAGCTGTTCATTTGAGAAACTGAAAAATTAAAGACACATGCATTAAAAGAATATTAGTTTAAACCTATATCATTTCATAAACTAGTTGGCAAATGCAATGATCTATTTACATTTTTAAAAGTCTAAATGACCCTTCTGTAAGTTGTTTCATTTAAATAGAATATGAAAGAAACATATTAGTTTCAGTACTTGATATGCTATTCTAACTAAATTGTATGTGATATCCCATTAATATTAGTGTATGTTTTTGTCTCCTTTTTGAAGTACAACAGTACCATCAAGTAATGGCTTCTTGAGAGACAACAGATGACGCATGGGCACAGTTTTACATGTAAAATTAGAAATGTTAATTAAAACATTAATTTTGAAATATGCCTTGATAGCTTTATCTAGCACACTGTATTCTTTTTGGGAAATGGCAAGTGTAATGAAATGAATCAGATATGCACTAATTATGTCTGTCTGTCATTTGCTATTATATTTGTGAAATATGTTGAAAAGAGTCACCATAAGTAATTTCTTAGAACAAATGTCATAAGAGTTGAAATTTACATAAGATAGAAAGCAGAAATTATTATAAAAAAAGAAAAAGGGGGGAAATGAAGGGACCAATAGTTATGGTTATTAATGTATGCCAGGCACTATGCTAAAAAATTAAAAGAAAATAGTTTTTTTCTGATTGTTATTATCACATCTACCTCAAAACTGATGATTTATAATCACTACTTTTTTTTTTTTTTTAGAGAGAGAGATTTTTGCCATAAGGTGTGTACGCTTGCCAGGGAGACAGACAAGAGAGACAGAAAGTGAGAAATCACCCTTCAAATGGGATGGTCAGGCTGCAGTCCTTTCTCCTCCATTCTCCTCTTGGGATTTTGGGCACTTATACACATGCACCCAGCATGAGTGTTAAGCCACTGGATCCATGTCTTGAGCTGCAGTCGACTTCATGGGAGTCCAACGACAAAACCATGACGACATCGGCTGGTCCCATACAATCACATTTTAACAGCTCAATAAAGACTACATTCCCCAAAATAACAAAGCTGCTTGGTGGTAAAGCCAGAATTTGAGCCTTTTTCTACTTGTTTCCTTTTCCTCTTTTTACTTATTATAGTTCTTAAATAAAATAGTTATTTTAGCAAGATTTATAAATTTTATTATTCCTTTTTAAAATAATTATTCTATTTAATTTTAATCATCAGCCATGCTATTATTTTTTTAATTTGACTAGAGAGAGAGAGAGAGAGAGGGAAAGCAAGAAAGCAAGCTCCTTGGTCCAGGACTTGAACCAAGGTTGACCATGTGGAGAGTCTAGTGCCTTAATCACCACACCACTCATCAGCCCCAGTTTGATGTATTCTTATAGCTTATGTCTTTACCTTTTCAAATATTGTAACATTGGGAAGTAAACATTGGTTTCCATCACAGAAATAGAATTTGAAACGTTATTTAACTAAAATTCTATCAGTTTTGAAGCAAAGCAGGAAGTAAGTTACTCACTTCATTCAAATTGTTCTCAGAATCATTTC